CCTAATGTTTTATTGAGTGAACAATCAATCAAAGTTTGCTAACAAAAGGAAATATCCTTAAAAGTTTTCTTCATATTCTCAGTTGTATTAAAAATTGGATTTATGAACTCCAGTACCTGAACAAAATAATCTGTATTGGGATTGTTCAGTGTGATGACAGAACTGGAAATCGTTATTAACAGTGGCAGATATTAAGTATGAGACAATTTGTATTTCTCCTTGCTTGCAAGTTCCTGAAGGACACAAGACTTTAGATGTTGTCACATTCAGAGACAGTCTCACCTAACCTGGAAAACAGTGAGAGAAAAAAATCAGGAAATAGACCTGTAAAGAGCAGAGTTCTTTGGGATTTTCAGGAACTGGTTTGAAATTTCTCAAAAAGAAAGCAAGTTAATGTTTGATCGTGAGGGAAGGAGTGAAAATAATGAGGCATCGTTAATTTTTCATAATTGCCAACGCTACAGGTGATAACTAGAGGCAGTTGCTTTGTTTTGAAAACACCCTTCAAAAGCCTTTAGCTATCTTTGTACCATAACAGGCAAGCAGAAATATAGTGTGCTGATATATAAATCTGTTGATCTTGTCTAATTTAATATATTGAGACATCAAGTCTATCTGTTGTAGGTTTTTTTGTTTTGTTTTGTTTGTTTGTTTGTTTGTTTGGGGTTAAATGTGCAAGTAATTTCTTTAACTTTTTTGTGAAAGAAGGTTCTGTCCAGCATGTTTTAAGTGTTAAGATAAAATAGCACTGATTAAAGGATGGTCTTAAACTCTGTTTTTTGTGGCACATGAGGTTTTGTTACAGTATAGGCTATGATTTATTTATTTATTTTATTTTATTTTTTAGTGGACCAAATGTTCATGTACTATTGCTTAATAGTGAGACAAAAGATAAATATAGAGGAAAGGCAAAAATATCAGAAGGTAACTGAGAAAAGTCTTATTTATACTGCAACTTGGTGAGTGGCATGTGAAAAATACAAGTTCTTCTGACTTTTGGACTGCATGGACATTATCATAGGAGGGAAGCATAAGAAGAATACCTTTGGAGCTAAGTAGTTAATACTGAGGATATTTTGGGGATTTATGCTGGATTTTTTTTTCATCTCTGTTTTTTCTCCTTCCAAGATAGTGGAAAGTTGTTTTTGTGCTTTTACTCAAACATTTACTGTGTGCTAGACAGTGAAGGAAAATACGATTTGACAAGAACTTAGATGTGAAAGTACTCACTAAACGTGAAACTTCTGCTAAAAAGCTTTAAAGGATTTTCAGTTGTGTTTGTAATTTAATTAGAGAAATTTTCTATCAATTGTAGAATATATCAAGTTGGAAGGGATCCATAAGCATCAAGACTAACTCCTTGCTTTTTGCAGCTCTATCTAACACTAAGCATAACATATTACTGAGTGTTGTCTGGATTCTCCCTGAACTCTGGCAGGGTTGGTGCTGTGCCCACTCCCCTGGGGACCCTGTTGCAGTGCCCCACCACCCTATCAGTGAAGAACTCAGAAATTATAAAGCATAAAGTCTGGTTGTCTGTAGAACCTCTGCTGGTTTTGTCTTTACGGAATATAGGCTGTGTCTCCACAGGATTCATAATGTAAAATAATAGAGAGCACTCACTTGTTTCATACTGGCATTAGGTAGTCAATCAGTGGGGTTTTTTTGGCAGAACTCCTGTGTCATTTGCTCTAAAAACTGGAAGAATGTGTATTGAACGAAGCAGGATAAGAAAAGAAATACTGTTATTATAGATTAAAGGGGTTATATGTGCGTTCAGGTATGATGTCTCTGGCTGGCTCTGCCACTGCATTTCTCTTTGTTGCTGGCCCAGTTATTTCAGGCAGAGCTTTAGCAAATATCTGCTTATTTGTTTCTGATGTTCTGGGTTATCCTTCTGATCCTGAGAATTCTGTAAATGCTAAGTGTTTAGAATATCGGATGAAGTAATTAGTAAGTCACAGCTAATGTGGGGAGGGAATCAGTCACCCCTTGACTGGGGCATTTCACACTTTGTATGTGTGAACAGCCCATATATGAGAATGCTGTGAAATCAAAACATTTTTGTAGGAAATTCTGTTAGGAATCTGGGAAGGCTGAAATGCCACATAAATAGTGGAGAGTAAATATGTAACTTTTCAGAAAAAAAATTCAAAATATAAGACCAGTGTACACTTTAAATATGTTACAAAAGTCACGAAACTTTTAAGGGGCTGCTCAGGAGCCCCTGGTTTTTATTTTGTTTTGGAGAGAGAAATACAAAGATCAGAACTATTGAAGTTATGGTCTGTAATATGTTTAAGGCATATTGTGCTGGAGATAATACAGTGGTTTTACAGAACTATTTCTGTAGTCCATTAGGCTGTACTATTGCTCTTTCATAATTCCTATTACTACAATGCATTGTTTAGTTCATGAACACCATGTTTAGTCAATAAACAAACATCCAGAGCATGTGGAAAGTTCATTTTCTAGAGGTTTTGGAAAAATCTAATTATATGAGATAATGTAGTGTTACGGTAATGCAAAAGCTAAAGTATAAAAATACGTTTACTTGTAACCTGAGCACTGCCCAGACTGCTTTCTGTTAAACGTTTTCTGTTGGAAATTACTGGCATTAAAATCTCAGCAGTGTTTTCTGATGAAGGAAAACCTTTGGATGATGCTGTTCTTGTTATGATTTTACTTAATGTCTTGAAAAATTTAATTTCATAACTTAGAATATTGAAGATTCTTTGTTTTCATGTAATATTACCAGTGAAGTGATCTGAGAAGTAGAAGAGAGATGTACTTGTTCCAGATTTTGCTTGGCTTCTTTGAATAGGCTCTGCTGGTATTTTGGGATATTTAGAATTTAATGGTGTATGATCTTTAATTTCCTTATGGTTGGTCTTGCAGGACACAAAGTAAAATTTGAGAAATGAATTTTAGAAGATAAAGAAAGCACCAGATGTGTTCAGGGCCTGGACCTTTGAAGCCCAGTGAACTTTATATGTATTAATGCGAAAGTGCAGCATTTATGCTTAGATAACGTGCAAAACCAGCTGCAAAAACTGAGGGGAGAGTTGTCTGTGCCGCTGGATTTTTAGTCCTCAGAGCTCTATTAAAATGGTAAATACTTTTTAAATAGCAGCTTGGGATTTTCCAGAGTGACTGGGCTGAAAACTCACCGGCTTTCCAACAGTTTGACAGAAGTTCTGCATTCATGGAAATGTTGTGTTTCCCAGAGGAATGTTTGAAGATTTTCAGTCTTAGCAAAGGTAGTCAGTCACGTGCCTTTTAGTGCTTGAGAATGGAAGGAGCAGGCACGACACACTCTGAACATCTTTATTAAAATGAATTCCGAGAGGAAGACTTAGAGTGTTCTGTAATTCAGATATACTTTCATTTTGAGTAAGACACTTTGTATCTTAGTGCTGACAGTATTAGAGGCACTCCTGAACACATGCAGAAAGGAAGTGATAAACACTTGCAGTTCCTTCCACTGTTGCAAGGAAGTTTTCATGTAAATGTTTTATTCTGAGTATGTGTGAGAGACTGAAATTTAATTGCGACTAAACCTGTGAGAGACTTACTTTATAAATATCCCACTTGACAGCCATGAGAATGTTCAAATCATTTAGTTCACATTTGAGTTCCTCAGGTTCTGAAGGGTCACAGGTCTTTGTGACCTGTAGGAGAAGCCCATGAGGTTATCTGTATAAGTTGTGTTATCTGGAAAATAATTTGCCTACTCTTTCCATTTACTGCTGCTGTGTCTGAGTTGTTCTTCCTCTGTCGTTTAGACCTGACACTGAGGCAGTGTCTCTTCTCACTCAAACTCGAAAGTTCTGGTTTACTGTCACCTTAATCCATATTTAATGACCTTACAGAGCTAATCTAATATTAGGAGTACAGAGCCTGCTTTTTCTTTAGCTGGTATCTGTAGATAAAGTAAACTTTTACAATTTAGATGGGTACAGGTAAATAATGATTAACAACCAATTACGGATATAAACATCTATATTTAGGTGTTGGTAATTGAGCCTAACCGTGCTGATGTCCATTTAAACCCTGTGCCTAGAACATTTGGTGTGCAGCTATTGGAAACATATATAACTAAATATCAGGAAAAAACCTACCTCATGAGTAAGGCAAGAGAACGTTCAGTAATTTCAGGTAAAAATAATTCATATGAATTGTAATTATTGAAAGGAAAAAAACCAAACTCAGCAGTGAACCCCCCCATCCCCTGAAATTCAGAGGCAACGCATAAGCAAAACCCAAAAGTGTTAAACCTTATCTTTAATTCTAACTTTTAAAGTATTTTTTTATTGTGAGTAAATCATTACAAACTAATTAACAACCAGATAATCTATGATAATTGAGTTGAATTTCCAAGAACTGTTTCTGTTGTAACAGCAATTTTGTAGCATTGATACTGCTCAAAAAAATAGGAGATAAAGTTATTGAGATTCAATTCTCCTTCCTATAGGCAGGAAAGAGGAACAATGTTAAGGGAAATTTTGAGCCATGTTCAGTTCTGTTTCCTGAACCAGAGAACCCTCATTGACTTGACCATTTCTCATCTTGTGAAACAATCACTGATTAATTCAAAAGAACCCCATAAAATGGTACTTATTCTGTATATAGGGATTGTTCTGTATGCATACATCTGCAGATGGGGAGATCATCAGGGTGTAGCAGAAGAACTAAAGGGGGGCCTTCAGGTTGGCCCATTTCTTCCGGTGAACCACAGAAGTCCTACAAGCCTTTCTGTGGTAAGTTTGCTGTAGTGAATGAATCATTTGTCAGTCACATTCGTATTTATGTTTGTGATCACAGAGCTAACAGTTTGTGCATGTATCTGGGAACATTTTGTTTTTCTAATTTTTCAATTAAATTTACTTTATCATTGTATTTTAATTTCTCTGTTTATCTTTTGTTTTAAGGGGTTGGATAATGATATCAGCTACAAATCAATTTAGGGTTCTTTTTCCCTTTTCCTGTCTTGCAGATACTAAACATCTGCTAGGAAATGCGTTGCATAGAAGGTTCAGAAAAAGAAATGGATGATCCCAACTGGAAAGACTAAATTGAGGCAGGTAATGATGCTGTTCCTTGGCTTTAATTCTGCCCATTTAATATGAGGACTGTATAGTAGCTGCGTCTTAGAATGCTGCATGATATGTATGAATGAAGTAATCACAATCATTTTACCCAATTGCTCTGTAAAAAAAATATAAATTAAACCACCATTGCGCTGTTCTTTCTCTTAGATCATCACCCCATGATGAGATCATCCAGTGTGCCGCCGTTCTGCTCTTAGAGAACATGAACTGTAGGAGGATCAGAAGAAGCCTGCAGAAAGAAGGATTACACTGCACTCGTTTTTTTCCTATAAAAATGTTTCCTCGTGTTGTAAACTGTTCTAAAGAAAATGCTGTCATCCAAAAGTGCAATAAGATGAAGAGCTTACAATAAAAGTATATAAAACGTAGTTATTTTTAAGTATGTTTTTATTACAAGTGCAAAGAAACTTTGGTGTTACGTTTTTCATAGAAAGATACACTTCCAAAACTTACAGAGATATGGGGTGGGGAGGACTTGAGCAGTGAGAGAGACAAGTGCTAGTAGGAGATCTAACTTATAATGATGTTTTATTGTTGGCACATTTGCTACTAAATGAAAATGTTACATCCATTTCCTTTTTATTACCTCCAAATATAGTAAGATCCTCATAGTATGTTTTTTCATTCTGTTTTGCTTAACAGACCTGTGTATGATTTAATCTGCAGTGGCTTTGCTGCAGAGTGATGTCATTAACTAGTATTGCACTTCTGCTGATGTAAATAAGGAAAGAGTCGAACCATTGGTTCAGACAGACCTACTGACCACAGAAGTTCAGCCTTGAAATTCAGTCTTCTGAATAATAGCACACAGCAATATCCAGAGAGAAAATGAGTAATGCATGTAAAGGGAGCTTTTAGCATGCTGAGGTACTGACTGTGGACCTGTCACTGAGGAGATTTCTGTTAGGTAGGGGTTGATGCCAAGGATTTCTGACATTTGTGGGATAAGTCCATCAATTGGCAGGATATGTGAAGAAGTGATTTTGAAAATGGAGGCTATGTGGTAAGACATAGGGATCTAGAAAATCTGCTAGATTCTACTGTGAGAGTCCATAGAGAGCTGTAAATAACTAGATAGTATTTAACCAAGAAGCAGTGGAGTAAGTAAACTATGAAATAAATTGTTTCTGTAACATGTTAACAGAGTTATGTAGTTGGCAAGGTTCCACGAGGTAATTTTTTATATTCTCTAGGTTTCAGTTCTTACTCTACACAGTTTTTGTTGTCTTTGTACAGTTAACCTACATCTTATAGCTTTTAACCCTTAAACTATTTAGAACTCTTTGTTTTGAATTATCTTATGCCAAAATGTCTTTATGTCCAAGCTTTGTTATCTGATGTCAGCAGAGCTTGGCTGATAGTTGTTATCAGCCTCCTGCTATATTTCAATGAGGGAAAATCTGTAAATTCACAGAATTGCTAGGTCACTTAGTAGATTTTTTTTTTTTTGTCATTTAGTGGCAATGTTGTACAGTCTGTACTCACCAAGACCTTCTAAATATAGATTAAGCAGCTAATTAAAAATATGGAACATATGAATGTTGTTTATACCTAGACTGAAGATTTGGCATGTTCAGTGAGTACTATGCACTTAAACCAGCAACAGATTCACGCTCCCTAGTGATCTACAGAAGACCTAGACCAAATTGCCCACTGGTTTGGGAAGGCATAGGAGGTAAACTACCACATTTGAAAGAATTGTTAGCACTGAACTCGTCTAAACCTATAGAAACTTAAGAGATATGAACTAAATGTGAAATGTAACATCCCAGGCAGTATTAAGGTGAAGAAAGGTTGTAAGAAATGAACCTGAGAGAACTGACTCCATTAGGCTGCTGTGTTTGCTTTGTGGTGTGAAGGTAGCATGGAAAAGAATAGTCAGTGTGAGTTATGGAATCCCTAAAGAGGAGTGTCAGCATTAACAGGTGCCTAACTCCTAACAGAGAAGTATCAGAAAAAGAGTGGATGATGGATGGATAAAGCATAAGCATATTCAAGTGAGAGGTGAGACCTCAATGCAGCCTCAGTGTGTAGAAATTTTCTGTTACCTTGATAATCAATGAGTTATTAATGTTAATGTTGTAATAGCTGGGCTTAAGACAAAATGATGAAATAAAATAATTTCATTCTCTAAAATATAGTGGTCTTTAAAGTGGTGACTTGGCAGTGAGTAATGTAAAGGAACTGTTGAGTGAAATTTTGTTTCATCTCTGTTGTCCTTTTCACTTGTTTAGCACTTTTTGCTCAGCTATTTCAAATAGCTTTACAAATATGTCATTAACATGTCAGTGAGATGTGTTATATTTTGAAAGTAATTTGTAACAAAAAGGCAGAAAAAGGGGGGTTCTCCTTCGTTATCATGCATATCATAGTCTGTGTGTAAGCACACAGACTAAAGTTTTCTCTGTTTTCTATTTGAATTTTAGGTCGTAGAATATTATAAAAGAATCAATTTGGTATATGCTTATCTACAAATTTTTATTATGCAAATTTTATCAACAGTATAGGCTGTGAAGTGTTAATGCATTTATTAAGTGTTAAATAGAGATCAGAAATCAAAAAGATTTGCTTTTCTTGTTATGACTAAGGATTCTTAGGAACATATTGTGTTTTCCCAAGATAATTGCTCTTTTGAAGTGAAACTCTACAAATCAAATCTCCATAGTAACACTGTGGATTCTTCTGCCAACCTGTGCTGTTGCAAATTTCCTTGTCAAACTGAAGGTAGTTTCACAGTTATACAAAGCTAGTATTTTTCATGTAATTAGAGTGTAGAAATAAGACCAACAGTTTTATTGATCATTTTGCTTATAGCACCGTGTATTGTATCCTTTCTCATTTACACTGCAGGTATTTTACAGTTTTGGCTCATTTGTGGGGGGTAAAAAATGTTCTGAAGCAGAATTTTAGCTAGAAGTTGTACTACATAACATGTGCTTAGTGTAAGACAAACATTGAACAAACAGCTCATTGACTGAGACAACTTTAACAAGATTCTTTTAGCATGTTGAGAATTCTGTTTCTATTCTACAAATCTCTGTTCACTAATGAGATAACTGACATTTACCTGTCATGGCAATCACAAACAAAACGACCTAATTGAATCAAAAGTGGCATAAAAATACTTGCTTCAGCTCAGAAATATTTTCATAAAAATTAGTTAGAAGTGTTTATCTAACTCATATAAATAAAAAACTTGAATCAGCTATCACGTAAAGATGCATATTGCAATTATAATGATTCTGTGGCTAAGTTATTTTGGTGCTGGCCAGTAATCCTAAAATGACTTGCTTACTTTCTCAGTTCACAATGAATCTCGGTTTTGTGGTAAGGGGAAGCCAACTAGGGCATCCTTTTCACTGTCATAGAGACCTTTAGAGGAGGTGCTGCTCTCTGTACCCACGGGTGAGAGCAAGAATGGAACAACCTACACAGATGTTGCAGTGTGATTTAGTGTAGCACAGCTTAGCCTCCCGTGGTGCCAGACTTCCCTGAGTCCGGTGGGAAGCAGTGCCCTGCATCCACTGTGCTGCTCAGAGGCTGTTGAAGCTGAGGGGAAGCACTGTGTGTGCTTTTCTCATAGCAGAAGGAGGCAGCACTGTGGCTTCTAAAAACTGTGGCTTCTGATTTCTGCTGTCAAATCAGGTGTCCCTAATGGACTGTCCATAAGTTGTCTTTCACTGTCCTGAGAAGGAAATGGTATTTGAGTGGGACTGACTGGGTTGATGATGTAGCTCCGTATGAAACACTGGATGTGTGTGCCAACTTACCTTCACACCTTAAAATGAGAAGTAGATTTAATGGATGATCAAAATGCTGTTGCAGTGACTCAGTGACAGGATGTACCAGGTATGGGTACATCCTTAGGTGTGGGAAATGTCTGTATTTTTACTCATAAAATGGATGTGTCTTACTCATAAAATGGATGTGGTTAGTGATGAGCTGCAGGTGGAGCTGAGGGGAGTGGTAGTGCTGTGCAGACTGGCACAGCTGTCCAGTAGGCACAAGGAAGAGACTGAATAAATTGTTCTGGTTTCCTACATATACTGGGAAGTTTACCCCTTTTGATGATTAAAAGAGCTCATTTTGTGGATTAACAGCTGGGGTTGTGATGTCTGTACTTAACATGGCCTGAAACGTATACAGGTATACAAATGTCCATGTAGATGGCTATTTAATAATGCTTGTGATCAATATCTGCAAATCCTGTGAGGGGGAAGGTATGTACTGTGAGTGTGTAATAAACTGTGGGGAAAATGACTTCAGATTACTAAATCATGTCGTAGCTGGGTCTAGTCAATGTTAAGTGGTGACTCCGTATTTGGAAAGCATTTTTGTCTTGATTTATAGAAAGATCTTATTGAACTGGACTGGAAGTCCAAAGGAAAAATGTCTAAGCTGCGTCTTTTCCAGGCTGTAACCCATCTGCTTTTTACATATTCTTTAGTTCATCTGAGGGACAGAGATCTCATGAATATACATATGCAGCCAACTGATGAGAAGAAACAAATCTATAAGGAACAGAGCAGTTAATAGGATAGAGGCACAGACTATGATCAGGACTTTACTGGTGTGTAAACGTAATTGTTACTTCTTTCCACTAGTTTGCATTTAAGAAGAGTCATCAGCTAATTTTTTCATACTTTTCTGATTCCACAGACGTTTTGAAGAAGTTATTGAACAAAATATGTCCTAATAATGTTTTCACTTAAGTCTTTGTACCTAGTGGTGGTGCTGTTCTTGCAGTCATTTTGACATCTTTGATTTGATCTTTCACATCGGAATCTTACATGTTTCACTCTAAGATTGTACTATACTTGAAAAGTCTACTTTCAGACCAATCAGTTTATTTCTGAACTGATTCTTTTAAAGCTAATTGTAGTAAACTCCATTGTTGCAGTTCTTTAGTTTGTAGCCAAATACTTTGCATATTAGGAAGTTGGATATTTGGGCATAAAGCATTGCAGTAGCAAGAGTAGTAAAAAATGTTACTTCTTGGAGAAAAATTTGACAATTTTTCTCCAAGAAGACTTTTTTTTAAGGTGGTTGTAAGAAGAGGTATAGTTTAATGGACATGAGGGTTGGATTAAACCACAGAATTCTGGACTGGACATAAGCATTACATTGTTCTATGTTCCACATAAAAGAGAAAATGAGGTCTTTTGAGGAAGTGTAGGATGGGTAAGAGAAGAAGAAAGCATTAAACTTTCTTCTTCATAAAGATTTCCTAAAATAGAGTGTTACTCTGAGAAGCCTTCAGCTGATTCTGCCACTATTTTGAAACAAAGATTACGTAAAGTGTTTAAAATAGCAGTAATTCCAAGTTTTTGAGTTTGGAAACATAGATGTAGAAATCAGATAATATACA